GAAAAGAAAAGAAAAGAAAAAAAAAAGGATGACGTAGGCCTAATTGTTTAACACAAAAACGCAATTTGAAATAATGTCGGTGGTCTAGTGGTTAGGTTGTTTGTCTTTCAATCGAAAGGTCGTGGGTTCGAACCCTTCAGTGTTCCCAACATTATATCATTGGGAAATGCACTTCACACGAATTGTCCTAACTTCACCAAGGTGGGAAGGGGTGCCCAGCTATAGACAGTGAAAGATTGTGACAGTTTGTTAGTGTCTGAACGTTTAATTGGCTGCTTGCACTGTTTGCTTCTATGGAAGCCGAGAAAGTTTCTGCGTGTTCTAGAATCTGCTGGGGCAATAATCATAGACTGAAAAACGTTGAATGGGGATATGCACTACACAAGACACGATATTAATCATTTATCATTAGTGTTAGTGCACTATACCTGATATGATATTATTAATCATTTATGATTCTGTGTCGTGGCTTCGGTGGCCCAGTTGTATTGCGGATTCAGGCATTGGAGCCTCAACTCACTCGGCCCGACGTTGTGTCCTTGGGAAAGACACTTTACACGAATTTCCCATTTTGGCCCAGTCCTTTCAGAGACCGACGTTATACTCGAAGGCCCTGCCTCTTAAATAAAACAATAAATACTATTGACAAGGGCGTTAAACCTATATCATTTCACCAATTTTCTTTTCTTTCAATGTAGGCGATATTTGAAATAGTCGGAGTGGGACTGGGAACATTGCGTGACCGCTGCTCATTTCTTATTCCGCCTCGGTCAGAAGAAGAGGCAGAGAGGCCAGGCTGGGAATTTCCGATGAGGTAAGGTGTGGAGCACCAAGGCGAGCCCAAGATCAAACCTTCATTGCCTTCATACTGGGAATCTACAATCGTCAGGTGAACGAGGAAGGTGAGTTAATTATTTATTAGGGCGAGGTAAGGAATGTGTTTATGTAAGTTAATCTAGGCTTTTGCGAAGTGAGCTATGCAGGGTGGGGAAAATGTGTGGCCTCTTGTGTTTTGGTTTGCCGTTTGCTTATCGTTCGCTGAAGGTGGTTATTGCGAGTGAGTGAGTGAGAGAGAGAGTGGGG